AAAAAAAAAAAGATATATCTTCTGTTCAAAGCCCTGAAGTCTTTCTTATATAAACCTTTCCTTGACCCTCCACAACAACGAACTAGTACTATATTTGTCCTTCTGTGATTAACTTATTTCACTCAGCATAATGTCCTCCAAGTTCATCCATGTTTTGTGGTGTTTTGCACACTCTATATTATTTTTTAGTGCTGCATAGCATTCCATTGTGTGTATACCATAGTTTGGTCATCCACACTTCTGCTGATGGACACGTAGGTTGTTTCCATCTTTTTGCTATCGTAAATAGTGGTGTGATGAACATGGGTGTGCATATATCTGTTCCTGTTCCAGCTCTCACCTCTCTAGGATATATACCTAGTAATGGGATTGCTGGGTCAAATGGTATCTCAAATTCCAGCTTTCTAAGGAATTGCCATACTGCTTTCCACAGTGGTTGTATCACTTCACAGTCCCACCAGCAGTGTATGAGAGTCCCAATCCCTCCACATCCCTGCCAGCATTTGTTATTTTCTGTCTCATTGAACCTTGCCATCAGCACTGGGGTTGAACTCTTTCTTTTTTAACTGTTTATTTAAGTACATAGGTTACTAGCTTAGAGCTCAGCTTTGAAAGCCAGACTTCTTCAATTTCAGGTCTGGCTCTGCCACTTAACAGGTCTGTGATCTTGGCAAGCTATTTAACTTGTGTGTATGGCACTTCCCTAATTGTTAAAATGAGAGGGACTGACACAGTGGCTGTGATGATGGCCTCAAGAATGACAATGATTGTGAGAAAGCACAGAACTGGGCAGTGTTTTCTTCTGTTGTGTACAGGGTCACTATGAGTCAAAACTGACTTGACAGCTCCTAACAACAACAGTACCTACCTTGCAGGGTTGTTTTGAGAAATTTGATAAGTTAACATGTTAATTGTGTCACAGTACCCTGGACATAGGAAGCTCTCAATAAAAGTTATTATTATAGTTATTATTATTAGAAGCCATACAAAAAATATCACCTAACCTAGAAATTCCTCATGAAAAACACAAAGCATGCATTTCAACTGATTTTCATTTATTCCTGGCTATTAATCCCCTGAATCAAGAGATGACTTTTAACTTAAATTTCTATATTTGGCATAGAATCAATTTGGAAATTTAAAATTGCATTTATCTCGCCACTTCTCTCTGTTGTCCTTAGAGTGAGGGAACGTTTACCAGCAGAATCATCTCATATGAGCTATGTAGCTTCAGCTACAACCTACTAGTGGTTAGAGGGCTATAGAGCCTGACACCAATAGCAGTTCTGCCCTGAAGGGACATACACGCACATGTACAGTGCAGCTATTTTCCTTGGCAATGTTTTAAAGGGTGGAATGATCATTTCATTTGAGAGAGAGAAAAAAAAAATTTTAAAGATGATACACCTGTATTGAGGTGGAGCACAAAAGCCCACAGAAGACAATTGGAAGAACACTTTCATGGTTTTGAGAGTGCATAAGGCAAGGTTTTCTTTTAGGTTCATTGAAAAATTTCCAGGTTTTCTCTCTAATTACAATAGGAATAAAACCACTGTATGTAATAGCTTGCCATCTAATGAATGCACTGCTCTCTGTCTTTGGAAACATTACTAAAAATAACCACAACAGACTCCAATAAGCTTGATATTTGTGTATATTTGAAGACTCAAAATTCAATCCATTAAAACAAACAAAATTTTGTTTATAATTTTAGTGGAATTTTGTCAAAAACTGAAAATCAACATGTTAGAAATTAATTTATGGAGCATTAGGAAGCAGGTTTTATTTTAGCATTATTATATATCATTTTATAGTTTTATAGTTTTCAACTTGATTCAATAAACATTTATTACATATTTCTAAGTATAAAACAAGTGAATGAAAAATTAATCATCCTTGCCAATAATAAAGACCTTTTAATTCTGAAAACCATTTATACTTGAATCTGGTATTTTCAGTGATGCTTCCTTTTAGTCTTTCTCTTGTGTTTATCTATCTATCCTTTTTTTTCCTAGTCCAACACACTGCCAATTTTCTAAACCAAGGACAACTGCTATATGTGTTTTTCCACTTTTCTAGAAAACTGGTGCTTAAATAGACCACATAGAGGGCATTCTGAGAGACAGCTAGTGGATTAAAAAGACTGTTGGAGCATGGCTGAGGGATGAAAACATATCCAACATATTATTTAACTTTTAAATGACTAATATAGTTCAAATTTTCTCTTTAGTTACTAAAACTAAAATGTTAGATATTAAGAAAAATTCTCTTGACATCCAATGAAAAAGCCTTCCTTTGATGGCTAGGTGTACATAGCCAGTTTTATTTATCACATTCTGCGATGTGTTCACATTTTCAGTTCATCACTGTGAAGAGTGCAAGGATAATGTTTTTTGTATTTTTAATATGTACATGTTTCATTTAGATGCTTTTCCCAACTCACCAATTTCGTTCTGCAGAGAAAGATTCCGAGACAAATTTCTCAGCAGGGAGACAGCAGTTTTCTTCACATTTGGGTCACCAATATGCAACATCTTCCGGGTGTGCTGAAGGCCATTTTCCTTCTGGACAACTGTCTGAGCTACTGAAGTTGGCATCTGTTTTGTAAGATATGTATTATAAATGCTATTGCATTTGCTTTCATGGTAATATTAAGTTTTCTGTAGAGTACTAGAAGTGGAGTGAGATGTTTTAAAAACCATTTGGAGCTGTGATGAAACCAGTCTAAAAATGATTTCTTAATAGGTTTCCAAATTATTGAATACAAATAGTTTATTCTGAAAAAATGTATTGGGCTTTTAAAAGAAGGACTGTATTGCTAATTAGGTCATCTGTCATTCTATCCTCTGTGTCAGAGGCTATGGGTACAAACTACTGGCCTAGGTCCATGTCTACTAGGCAATACTTACTTGAAATTATGCTGGCTTTCTACTTTCAGGGGGTCTGAATACTGATTAGACCCTTCCTAGCATCAATTAACCTCCAACAATACTAAGGTCTTAGCTTGTGTATGCAACTTTATATCAGATTTTATTTAAAGTCAGTTTGGGGCCATCACAGCAAAATTTCTGTCATTACTGGCCACTCTTCAGGGTGTCTAATCTTCTCCATCTTATCTCAATGCTGCTTGTTATTTCTCTCCCTCTAGTACTGCCCTCCTCCTGACACTTCTCCATCTAGAAGAGTTTTTATTCATTTATTTATGCTTAACTTTTTATTTTATTGTGGTAAATATACATGTAACAAAACATTAGACATTTTAACCATCTTCGCATATACAGTTCAGTGACATGATGCTCCTCTTATTGTATAACCATCACCCTTATTCATTCCAAAATTATATGATCACCCTTAATAGATACTCAGTGTCCCCTAAGCATTGAGTCCTTCTTTCCCTCTCCCTTTTACCCGTTAACCATTTGTAAACTTTGGCCTCTATACCTCCTGCCTAATTGTGTATATTTCATATTAAGTAGAATCATACAGTATCTGTCTTTTTGTCACTAACTTAGCGTATTTTCAAGGTTCATAACATGAATCACGACTTTCTCTTTATGGCTGATATTCCATTACACTACACTTCATTTATCCATTCCTCAGCTGATAGGCATTTAGGCTGTTTCCATTTTTTTGGCTACTGTGAATAATGTTACAATGAATACTGTTGTACAATGATCTGTTTATGAAGAAGAGGGGTTTTTAACAGAGTTCAAGGATAGGCTTCGGGGAGGGGCAGGAGAGTCCCTACTTTTGTTTTTATAATCAACTTTTCCAGGGAAAGAGCCCATAACTTTATTAGATTTTCAGAGTCTCCATGCCTTTAAAAACTTTCATAACCACTACTGTAGAATGCTTGTTCTATTGTATACAAACTATACTTTGTCTTCTTCTAATTCACAGAACATTGCTACAGGCTATTTGATCTCCTCTGAGGAGACTTCTCCTATCTAGAGAGACGCTCATTTATTCAGCTCAATGCCTGTGTCTTGATTCAGAAAGTTGGTTTGGTATTCCCCTCTCTTCCAATGACTTTTCTAGACAATTTCTTCCTTCAAATGCAAAAAGGTCTGTCCTTCTGAGTCACTGCCATCCAGCTCTATGACCCCTATCACATTTTGTTTGCCAAGACCCATTAGTCCTTCACTAATATTCACTAAAGGCTTTCAAACTTGGATCAGTACCCTCTTCTCCACCTCAAGTTCTGTCATCTCAGATGACACCAGAATCCATGTAGATGACCAAACTGATTACTTCACAGTTCCTGCTGTTGTTTTTGTGAGGTTCTTACTCACAGTGACCCAATGGACAACAGAACAAAATCTGCCCAGTCCTGTACCATCCTCAGAATCATTGCTACGTTGCAGCCCACTGTTGGAGCTACTGTGTCAATCCATCTTATTGAGGGTTTTCCTCATTCTCGCTGACCATCTACTTTACCAAGCATGATGTCCTTCTCCAGGGTCTGGTCCCTCCTGATAATGTGTCCAAAGTATATGAGATGAAGTTCCTACACCTCCTAAAAGTTACTGTGGTAGTTCCACAGTAGTTTGTATGCCAGTTTGGCTGGGGCTGGTTGAGTGGCTGGGCAGCTGGATGTAGTATTCCCCATGATGAGACTGGTAATCAACTCCATGGTGGATTCTACTGTGAGCAGCTGAGTAGCTGCCTTAGGGATGTGGTCTGCTTCCTGTAAGAAGGAGAAGCCTTGGGGAATGGTCTCTATT